GAAGGAAGGAAGGAAGGAAGGAAGGAAGGAAGGAAGGAAGGAAGGAAGGAAGGAGGGAAGGAAGGAAGGATGGATCTACAGAAATGCATGGAAAAACATATAGATTGGGAGCAACACATACAAAAATATGGGGTTTAACCAAGAAAAAAAATGCAGTCTGATATAGAAACCTGACAAAATTGTACACATTTATTTATAAAACAAGTATGCTACTCTCCATTAAAAAAATTGAAGATACTTGTCCTCCTCAAGCCCTGCAAAAAAAACCTAGGCCTGTTTTCAGAGCCCCAAGAGTATACAGTATTGGACTAGCTGGGGAGATAGCAAAAGGGCTACGCGTATGCCTTGGCTTTCACAGTTTAGCTTGAACAGAGGTGGACAATCCCTCACTTGTGTCTTTTGGCAGTCACCATGTTCCTAAGGATAGACTGCTCTAGGAGTGGAAGGACATTTATCCTGAGCATGGTCAATCATCTTCCCAGAGATTGTATAACAAATATGTGTCTATGAATGAATGGATAGAGAAGGTGTATGGGTGCGATGTGTGTGCCTAGACGTCCTCACGTATGTATGGACTTCTAAATTTGGTGAGGCCCTCAGGATTCAAAAACTACAAAATCCAGACTCACAAGCCGTTAACTTTCTAAGTTGTCCAAATGGGTTGATGCAGATTCTCCCCAAAATTCAGCATTTCATATTCACAGCACGCCCTACCCAGAAAAATGGTCTGATCTTCTTCCCAGAAAAACAAACAGCATTAAAAGTAAAGATCAGTGTGTCTGAATAGGCATCTGTAAATTTCACATAACGTTTTTCATAATTCAAGGATACTCGGATCTTCCCAGGCAAAGGTTGTTCAGTTAAATGGGTCCACTGAGGGAACGTGAAAGCATAGGAAAAAAGTTGAGATGATTCTTTCAGTGAGCCATGGTCAGAAAGGATCTTATTCATTCCTACAGCCCAGACCCCTTTCTGAGGGCTGGGGATCCCATCCCCTTTATATCTGAAAGACTCTTGTGCAACCCCTAGAGCCCATTCTATCTCTTCCTCCTCCATGTTCACCTCTATCTTCACATCCCACCAATGTCTTCCTGAGCTGAATCTTTCACAACCTAGTACTAATGGATCCAGGTGAAATCGGAGAGGATTCATTGACAGATCCTGTTTTTGGGCAGCCCATCTCACGTTTTTCAGATCCTCAGACACAATGAGATATACGTATGCTGTATCTGGATCCAGGGTCACACTTTCTGTAAGAGGGAAAGAAAAAGGAAGAGGCACTTCTGTTAAGCTGATGGAAAACTTGTGGAGCTGAACATCTTGATTCCCATATTAGCCAATGAAATGTCATTGAAAAACTCACTAGCAAGACATGAGGGCCAAAGTCCTTATTGGTATTCCCCAGCAATTAGTCCTTTGGTGTTGAAGAGTCTCTGTGGCTAAAGAATATCTTACAAAATCCCTTCCTCAAGTAGACCATGTTGAAGGATGAAAGAAAACATCAACTGGTGAAGGCCCTTAGGCATAATTGTGATTTTACTTAAAACTGCCATATCCCTAATAAAGCAGGATGAGCCAGAACTTATTCATTACTCCAGTGTTTCTCAACCTTGGCAACTCTAAGATGTCTGGACTTCAACTCCCAGAATTCTCAGAATTAGATGCTGGCTAAGGAATTCTGGGAGTTGAAGTCCAGACATCTTAAAATTGCCAAGGTTGAGAAACACTGCATTAGTCAGAGGAGTGAAAGCAATATTGAGAAAGTGGAGAGGAGACCCTCTTGCAGTTGTCACGATGCACCAAGAAGTCGGTAGGACTTAGATCATACCACCAACCACTCTGGTGTCTTTATATTGTTTTAATTGTTTGTGAGCTGCCCAGAGTCATATACTGAGATGGGCAGCTATATAAATGTGAATAATAAATACATTAAATAATGCCACCATGTGTGACAGTTGTAAATATAATTGGCTGCAGACTTCACAGGACGCCACTGTGAAGTATGTACCCAATTGCTCTGGATCCAGAGATACTGAGTGCCAGATTAATTATTTAATCTATTTTAAATTGAATTAATTAATTTAATCATTTAATCCAATCAAATTAAATTTGCTTATTAAATTTGCTTAATAAAATCAGCGGGCTGGCTAGCCTAACAGAGCTGCATAGAACTCAGCTTTCAGTCTAAAAGAACATCATATACTACTGCTTGGGCAACGTCCAATGTAGCCAGTTTGAGATTTTGCACTTTTAAAATGTTTCTCATTGTTTATGTGAATAACACATATTCCAACCATACAAAGGGGCACTGTGATTTATCTATTTATTTCATTTATGCAGTTGGTTGCAACTCTGAGGATTAAAACCAAGAAAAGCAAAAGGAACAGGAATAATGTATTAAACTCATATGCTGCCCGACTCTCAACGACTCTGGGTGGCTCACAACAATCAAGGAAATTATGACAAAATAACAACAACAGCAACAACAACACACACACACACATAATGGCACCCAAGGACCATCTAAACCAATCCATATAACTGTAGTCATATTGAGAAAAATCACACTGAGAGCTCACTCGATCTCTAGGACCCATGCCTGGGGGAATATTTAGCTCTTTAGGGATATACGAAATGCCAGCAGGATCAGGGCCAAATGAATCTCAGGGGTTATGGTGTTCTAAAGGGCAGGTGTTGTGACAGACAAGGTATGCTTCCTGCATCCCATCAGATAGCACTATAGACGGGACCCAGAGTTACGTGCCAATAATTCTATATTCCCATATTATGGACCAGATTCAGCTTCTGAGTGGTCTTCAAGGATGGCCCCATGTATACCACACTGCAATAGTTCATTCAGAAAATGATCAAGTTATGAGAAATCATGAGCACTGCCTCCCTCTCCAGGAAAGAAGACAATTGGTGCACAAGACAGATTTCAGCAAATCTACCCCCCTGCACAGCTGCCTCCTGTTCCTTAAACAGGAGCCACAAGTCCAGGAGAACCCCCAGATTCTGCATTGGTTCTGTTTGGAGCAATGCAACCCTATTGAGAACTAAGGATGGAAAAGACCCAGATCCAGGGTGGGGGCGGGGGGCTAAAACCCAGAACTAGTTGATCTTGCTAGGGCTGCACTGAAGCCTGTTCTTCCCCATCTAGATCCCCACAGCCTCCAGGCATGGGGGGGGTGGGGTAGAGAAATATAGCTGAATACAGCGAGCCCTCAACTCATGACCACAATTGGGACTGGAACATCTGTCGCTAAATGATGCAGTCATTAAGTGAGTTGCACCCAATTTTATAACCTTTTTTCCATGTTCATTAAGCAAATAACCACGTTTGTTAAGCGAATCATGCAGTTTTTAAATGATTCTGGCTTCCCCCATTGACTTTGCTTGTTGGAAGCTCCCTGGGAAGGTCATAAATGGCAACTGCATGATCTCAGGATGCTGCAACTGTTGTAAATACATGCCAGTTGCCAAGTGCCCAAATTTTAATCACATGAGTGTGGAGACATTGCGACAGTCATAAGTGCAAGGACCAGTCGAAAGTCACTTTTTTCAGTGCCGTCCTAACTTCAAACAGTCGTTGAACCAATGGTCATAAGTTGAGGACCTCCTGTATCATCAGCGTACTGATGATATATTTAATCCTGTGCCAGTAGATTAGTTTATCCAGTGGCTTCACATAGATGTTAAACAGGAGCAGAGAGAGAAGAGAACCCTGAAGGATCCTTCAAATAAGGGATCTTGGGCCAGATCTCTCCCCTCAACACCAAGTGAAACTGGCCCTAGAGAAGGAAAGAAACCATTTCAATACCATGCTGCTTACTCCTACCCCCATTAGCCAGTCCAGAAGGATGATCAATGGTACTGAAAGCCACTGAGAGATCAAAGAGAACAAGGATGGATGCACTACCACATCACACTCCTGCCAGAGATCATCCACAAGCCTAATCAATGTTGTCTCAGTCCCATTCCCAGGCCTGAAAGCTGACTGGAAGAGCTCCAGGTAATCTACTTCTACCAGGGCTCACTGAAGCTACAGGGTGACCACCTTCTCAACAACTTTCCCTAAAGGTTGGAAATGGTATGAAAAGCTGTTCAACACACTGTTAAGGTGTTCGTCAATCAATCAGTCAGTCAGTCAATCAGTGAACTGTATAGGATACTCCCCTGCTCAGTTTTTATTCTTATCTCCTATATTATCACACACTGCACCAAGCTACAATCGGAGTGAAAAATAAATCAATGTATATTATTATTAAAAAAAATCCCCTCTCATGCCTTTGGGTGGTCTGTGTCTTCCTCAGTCTCGGGTCCTCTACCAGAGACCTGGGAGTTTGTGGGTTCTGCGCAGTATCTTAGCTGCTCCTAGCACTGCACTCTTCTGCACAGAGAGCTCTGATGTTGTTCCTGGGATCTGTTGGAGACACTCTCCCAGCTTAGGAGTCACAGCCCCAAGTGCTCCTACCACCACTGGGAAGACTTTAGCCTTTACTTTCCACTTCCTCTCTAGTTCCTCCTTCAGGCCCTGGTACTTCTCCAGCTTCTCATACTTCTTCTCCCTGATGTTGCTGTCACCTGGCACTGCTGCATCTATCACCACGGCTGTCTTCGGGTCCTTGTCTACTACCACAATGTCTGGTTGATTGGCCAGTACCTGCCTGTCTGTCTGGATCTGGAAGTCCCACAGGATCTTAACCCTGCTATTCTCCACACCCTTCTGTGGAATCTCCCATCTGGACTTGGGGGGGTCTAGCCCATACGCTGTGCAGATGTT